AGAGAACTCGGTATCAGGTAAACCCTATCCACAGTGCTACGGTACAAGGGGGTGTGATGAACCTTTTCCTGCTGTGTTGTTTCAGTGTCAGAGGATAACCCCTGTGCATAGCAGTTCCACCTTTGGGTGCTGGAATTGATTTTCCTTATCTTAGCGTGAAAAGATGTGACCTTTAAAAGCGTTAGCTGTCAGAGCAGAGCAGCACCAGATGTGGAAGACATGAAGGCAGCAGCTTTAAAAGTGCTGGAAATGTATGTTAAGGTCTATTAATACTGGCTCAGGGTGGCGAGCTACATCCTGAGGTGGGGTGCTCTCACTCAGTAAGCTCTCTCTGTACTAGAAGGTAGAATCTAGAGGAAGATTTGTGCTCTTTGTCCTGCCTGGTCAAATATCCCAGGCTCCTCTATGCCTCCAGGTAAAATCTGGGTGGGCAGAGTGGCTTGCCTAGCTCTTTCTGATCCCACCTCATCAGCTGGTTTGCTGCTGTCGCACTGGACACGCTATGGGGTCTGTGTGGGATAGGGATGAGCAATCTCACACAGAGTAGCTGACCATAAGTGGAACCCCCCCAAAGAGGGGACTGTAACAGCCAGCTGTGCTGTTCATAGAGCTGAAGTCTTGCTGCCTGCATTGCTGCATGTAGGAATTGTTGGAGACACAGGACACGCTTTTGTCCTTTTCATTTCCATCCTGCTTGGCTGCATAGCTTCAGGGCAGTACCTGTCGGAAGACTCATTTGGTGGAGACATTATCAAGTGATGCGGTGGCAACTTGCCCCGTTGAGGAAGGGAAGTAAGGAGATGTCAGCTGAGTTGTCAAAACAGGGTTTTTCCATTGTAGTTAGGAGTGAATTTTGGTTTACTTTGTGGAAAGAGGAGTTGTACGTTGCAGGTTTCTTTAAGCAACGTGGGTTTTGTAGCTGTGAACAGCAGCTGACTTCTTGGGTGAAATGGTTCAAGGTATGGCAAAAGAGCCTATTCAGAGCGCGAGTTTGATTTTCATTATAGCTTATTGTTTCCTCACAGGAGGGAAAAATGAAGCAGAGATCATCAGTATGGTCAGGGGGAGGAGCCAGAACAGGTCTTTAACATCTTGTTCCCTGAAGTACCTCAGCCAAAGTTAAACGGGAGGTTAAATGCTGGTGTCACTCTTCGGCAGGGAGCTCAGCAGAGCACTTTTGAAACACACAGGGCTGGAAAAGCAGAGAGGGGAGAGACTGTGGTGTTTGTGTCACAGGTGGGAAGTCACGAAGGGACGTTTACCCTGTGTTAGTGTGGAGAAGACTTGCGACCTGAATCACAGCTCTTAAAATGGTCTTGCCTTTAAGGCAGAATGGGAAGTACCGTGCTCGGGCCAGTGAAGACTGTGAGGAGTTGTCCCCGTTCATTCTGGAATTAGCTACGTACCTTTGGTACCACAGGACGGGCTGCTCCTACCGCTGCTGTCAGGAGTTTGTTGGGGATCTTTGTTTCTTCCCAGTTCACACCGTTTCTCTGCCAGTTTTGAAGTGACATTCCCGTTCCTAGCGGGATTGGTCCCAGGCCATTAGACAGACTCTGGATTCCTTCACTGTTGGTTTCAGATCTGACAGAAGCCAACGTGGCTCACGAGGGTTTACTTCTTTGTTTGTGCACTGGCATTCTCATTGGACTTCACCGGTGAGAGAGCTTGCCAGGACTGAGCACAAAATGTAAATGGAAGTAGATGTATTGTTGGAAACACTGCTAAACAGTTTCCACACGGCTGGGCATCAGTGCAGACTGGGGGCATGTGGGGATGTTACCCTTGTTCTGCTGTGAGAGCTCTAAAACACGCTGCAGTTTCACTGCCTGAATCTCAAGATCACCTTCCTCATGAAAATGGCCTTGTTTGTGCCTCTTGCCAGTGGTGATGGTCTGGCTGAGCAGGGCCATCCGCTCTGACACCAAGAGGATGAGGGCTGCCTGTAGGACGTTGAGATTGTAGTTTCCGACCTGATTTATAAGTGGTTTATACTTGAAGCTTTCCTGTTTAATAGTTAAATAAACTGTTTAATGTTTAAAAAGTAAAATTCTTCTGGTAATTAAACCAGTGTGCAGGGAAAAAGGGAAGCTGAGCACAGCCACATCTTGCCTAAGCCTTTCAGTGTGTTCCCACACTTCACAGCCCAGCTCTGCTGTGATTGAGCTCCCGGTAGCAGAGCACCGTGGAAAGCCCATGGAACGCAGCACTGGGAGCGCTCATCTCGTTGTATTTTTATCATCAAATCGAATTCTGGTTTGGGTTGGAAAGGACCTCAGAGCTCACCCAGTTCCAACCCCTGCCATGGGCAGGGACACCTTCCGCTAGAGCAGCTTGCTCCAAGCCCCTGTGTCCAACCTGGCTTTGAACACTGCCAGGGATGGGGCATTTACCACTTCCTTGGGCACCCTGTGCCAGTGCCTCAGCACCCTCACAGGGAAGAGCTTCTGCCTTAGATCTAACCTGAACTTGCCCTGTTTCAGTTTGAACCCATCACCCCTTGTCCTATGGCTGCAGTCCCTGATGAAGAGTCCCTCTCCAGCATCCTTGTAGCCCCCTTCAGACACTGGAAGCTGCTCTGAGGTCTCCACGCAGCTTCTCTTCTCCAGGCTGAACAGCCCCAGTGTTCTCAGCCTGTCTTCATATGGGAGGTGCTGCAGCCCCGATCATCCTTGTGGCCTCCTCTGGACTGGCTCCAACAGCTCTGTCCTTATGCTGAGCACCCCAGCACTGCACAGAGTGCTGCAAGTGGGCTCTCATGAGAGCAGAGCAGAGGGGCAGGATCACCCCCTCTACCTGCTGGTTACCCTCCATATTTATATATATTGTATTTACTTGTCTCCTCTTCACAAAAGAGACTGAGAAGATGGTGGGGAGTACACTGCCAAAATACTGGGGACAGTGCTGACTGATGTTACGGAGGCAGGTTCATGGCCTGGCACAGTTTTCCATCTACTTCTTTCTGCTGTTGCTGTGTTACTCGGGAGGTCCCAGGCTGGAAGATAATGTGCACAGGGCACGTGTGCCACCTTGGCTTTACCTTCTGCCCTGGAACACACCCTGCTCGTGGCACCCGGGGAATTTTAGGGGTACCCAAGTAGTGCTGCCTGCTGCTGGCTCTCAAGGGTACCTGTCTCTTTCTCATTGCCCGTGGGGCACATCACTGAGATCTACACTTGGTTCTAGGTAAAAGAGTGTTTTGGTTTCTTTTTTGTTATAAATAACGCAGCGCAGGAATAGGAGTCAAGGGAGTCGGAAAGTAAGAACCCTGCTGATACAAGCTCCGTGCCCTGCAGCAGCCTTCGGCAGGTAATCGGGACAAGCCTTTCCTCTTGCTGCATCCAGACCCTGTTGGGAAAATCTTGCAACACCATAATGCTACCATAATCATGCAGGGAGATGACAGCATGCCTTTGACAAATAGCCAGAGTACGAGGGTGCTGTGAAGGGTGTTACCGTCTTGAAAATGACTGTTGGCCGCTTTGTGGCGGTGTCCTCTAAGGGCATTAACAAGGTAGTGAGGATTTTACTGGCACGGTTTCTTTGCTGAATCTTTTCTTGCATTTAGTATTCTGTTCGCTCCTACTTTATTGGAAGGGGTTGCTCAGGAACGTGTGCTCGTGAATAAAGAATACATCTATTGACCCTGAAATACTTGCTGCCATGCAGGCTTGCTTCAGAAGTAGCCATCAGTGATTCCATCTGGATTTCTCTGCTTTTTTGAGCAGAGGCCTCCATGCATCATCTACCCTGCTGTTTATAGAGGTGGCTGTACATATGGCATGGAATCTCAGCCAGGGCTGGAAACTGCCTGTGCTATGCAGGCACAGCAGGAGCCTTAGGAATTGAGCTTCACTTATGGAAGTTGTCCACAGGTCTTGGAGATGCCCTGGCTTGCTGTGGCCAGAAAAGATTGCTAAGTACAGAGGCTGGGAAGCAGCCAGGTGAGGCACTGGGAGCAGCAAGCTCTGCTGTATGAATATAGCTGGGGAAAAAGCTGCCTTTGCTTGCTTTGCTGAACTTGTGAGCTCCCTGAGGTTTCCTTGTGACCCTTTCACAGTCAGGAAGAGCAAAGAGCCCGTGTTATAACTGTGCACCTCACTACTGACATGTAGTGCTCATGGTAAAACGCTGAGCAGCTCACGTGCAAGCAGATCTGATCTCTGGTCAAGGGGGCTGTCCTGTGAAAGAAAAGAACCGGCTTCCAAGATCCCCCTCTCTGAAAGAGGCTTTCCTGCGTGAGTGGTGGAAACGACGTGAGGTGCTGTTTGCTCTGGCTTTCCCAGATGGTCAGAATCCTGCTGCTCTTTCTGCCTTATGTTGGCCCCGTTGTCTGGGACCATCTTTCCCTGTGATGTGCAGGCTCTGAGCTCTCAAGCAGTTAGTTTAGCTGCTACAGTAATTGGAAAAGCAGAGTTTTGTGCAGTATGACTTAGCTTATCCATAACCCCTGGTCTGGTCCCGATGGCTTCTCCTCTCCTAAATTCAGTGGAGTCCTGCTTCACACCGGAGTGACGGTGAGCAGGCTCAGGACAAGGCAGGACGGAAGGTTTTACCTTGCATGATGGGTTTACAGAGCCTCTTGAGCCTGATGTAGGTGTTAGTGCTCCCTGTTTGCAGAGACATCTGAGGCCAAACTGGTCATGCTCTTGAGTTGAGACTCTGTGTTGTGGTCCTGGTCTAAGCACAGCTCACCATCACCGGACCAGTTGTGGCGCACTCTTTGCATGTACGTGGGACTTTTCTATTAGGAGATCCCAGAGCACTCGGTAAGTTCAAGTGTTCACACTTGTGATACCTGAAGATCCCAAAGCTGCCCAGAGGCAGAGCAGAGAAGGCTCTTGGCACCTGCTTTGCCGTTTCTCCTACTGGGTGTTTGCAATAAAAGTGCCGTTAAAGTAACGTTCACAGATGGCTGATTTTGAAGTGTAAGCCCCTCAAGTAGCACCCTGGCTGTTGTGCCCTGCCATTGACCAGCTTGTTGCTGTGTTTCGTTCCAGGAACACCTGTGTGGTTCTTTGTGAAGATCGCTCCGATCCGAAACGAGCAGGATAAAGTGGTTTTGTTTCTTTGCACTTTCAATGACATAACGGCTTTCAAGCAGCCCATTGAGGATGACTCATGTAAAGGTTGGTCTTTTTCACAGTTACTTATTTACGCTGCTTCCCTTTGCTTGCCCTGGTCTTGAAAGAGATGGAAGTCCTTTAAGTATCAAATCCAAAGAAGTAGATGTTCAAATAGCTTGTAGACATGCCTCCAGGTTGCTGGTTTCTGAAGTGAATTGGCTCTGGCCTGCACTGGAAAGGGGGGTATTGCCAAGGAAACCTCAAAGGCAGCAGAGTTTACTTAGGAAATAGGTACTGCTTTTCCTTTTAAATTCATTTTTTATCCAAACTGCAGTCTTCAAGGAGTCACAGTGTTGCTGCACAGCATCTTTGTGTCAGAGGGAACTGATGGGTCTTAGGCCCTGTAAAGACTGTGCATGATGCTGCATGGAAACCCAGAGGAATTAACCTTGGCCGAGTCTACCAAAGATCTGAATCATTTCATTCTGTCTGGCTTGATGTTATTTACCCTTATGGTGGGATTCCTTATACTAAAGTTACGGACTAGTTTAGTCTGTGAAGAGGTTCCCATCATCTTAGGTTGAATCAGGTTGGAGCTGTGTTTTAGTGTTAACCCTTTGCTGCGCTACACCCTTGGAAACCTGGAAGGGAACTCGGCTGTGACGGCAGCAGGAACATGCACTCGGGTTCAGGTCCTGTCAGAAATAGAGCTTTTGTCCCCGTATGGAGAGTTACAGAGACTTGTGTCTTCTGGGGTGAAAAAGATGCAAGTTCCTCTGTTGTTTGCATTTTTGCAGTCTCTAATAATATTTGTGGCGTTAAGTTAAACAGGAAGCTCACGGTGAAGGTGAACTGATTTACATTTATGCTCAAAATGTTATTCTTTAAAAGCATAGTTTCTCAAAGTGGAAACACCTGTTCCCATGAAGAAAAGGAAGTACAGACTCCACAAACAGACCCTCTCCTGGGCTCTGGGGTGGATTTTTACTCTCTTCAATGCTGTTTGGATGGTTCTGCATTGCTGGAATAAAGCTGAAAATCCCCCTCTTGTCCCAAAGGTTGGGTCCACAGGATTTTTGACCCTTCTTAGTGGTGATCCCTGTACCCTGCTGAGCACTGCCAGCAAGGACAAATAGGCACGATGCAGTAAAGCTGCCTCCCATCTGTTTGCTGGGAGTGAAGGCCATTGCTTCGTTCGGTCAGTTGGTCAGCAGGGCTTTGGCAGGGGCGGTAGCTCTCTCTTTCCCTTTGCTTTCACAGAAGATTCTGAATGCGCTAGGGATGTGCAGTCTCGTGCAAGGAGCTTGCCCTTCACTTACAACACAGGGACATACTGCAGCTTTTATTTTATATATCTTTTTTCCCAAGAGGAATACGTTAAAGGAAGGAAGCAGTAACTTAAAACCAGAATTCCTTTGGATCTTGAATTTGTCCTGTTCTTACAGGGATCATGGTAATTCTGAGCAGTTCCATTATCTAAAGCACTAAGCCTACATGTAAGTGCACCAGCTCAGAGAGAAATTAAGGTGACAAGCAATGTTCCTTTATTTCATGGAATCATGGAACGGTTTGGGTTGGAAAGGACCTTAAAGCTCATCCAATTCCAACCCCTGCCATGGGCAGGGGTGCCTCACACCAGACCATGTCACCCACGGCCCTGTCCAGTCTGGCCTTGAGCACTGCCAGGGATGGGGCAGCCACAGCTTCTCTGGGCACCCTGTGCCAGCGCCTCAGCACCCTCACAGGGAAGAGCTTCTGCCTTAGATCCAACCTGAACTTGCCCTGTTTCCCTTTGAATGCATCACCCCTTGTCCTATGGCTGCAGTCCCTGATGAAGAGTCCCTCCCCAGCATCCTTGTAGCCCCCTTCAGACACTGGAAGCTGCTCTGAGGTCTCCACACAGCTTCTCTTCTCCAAGCTGAACAGCCCCAATGTTCTCAGCCTGTCTCCATATGGGAGGTGCTGCAGCCCCTGAGCATCCTTGTGGCCTCCTCTGGATTTGCTCCAGCAGCTCCGTGTCCTTCTTATGCTGAGCACCCCAGCACTGCACAGAGTGCTGCAAGTGGGGTCTCACCAGAGCAGAGGGGCAGGATCACCTCCTTCAAGCTGCTGCTCACGCTCTGGGGATGCAGGATGGGACAGAGGTGGTTTCTGGGCTCAAACGCATACTGAAGTAGCTCATGTTCAGTTTCTCTGTTGCCAGCACCCCCAAGCCTTTGTCTGCAGGGCTGCTCTGAATCGCTTCTCTGCCCAACCTGTAGCTGTGCCATTTGACCTATGGAAACTGCCAAAGTGACTACCAAAAGTTGCAGACAGAAGAATTGGATGTATTATTTAGAGGCCACCGATTCACAGCTCTCTTCTGCCCCTTCCCTAAGGGCTGTGACTTCATGTACAAAAGGGTTCATCCACTAAATGAATCTTCCAGATATTTCTGTATCTCCTGAAGTTAATGAAGTTGTACCAGTTTCATGGTGATGAAGAGTCCTCTGCTGCTTTATACCCACATCAAACATGACATAAATGAAACTGCACATCCCGTTCTAATCCCTAATTTACCCCCTACACCTTCCTTTCTTCCTTGGGTTACTGGCTGTAGGAATTTTGAGGCATCTCGGGGGGTGATGTTGTCTCAGTTGCTTTGTGACTAGATGAGCAGTTTCTTGGAAAAGGAGTGATTTGTCAAACAAGGAATTTTACATGCATGATCCTGTCTTGAAGATTAAATCCCATTGTGCAGTTGCAGACTGTAAGGGGATGAAAAAGGCAGCTATGGAGAGCCAGATGTTTGTCCGCACTGGGTTCTAGGATTCTTGAAGGTGCAAAAAGCATTTCTAGGAGCTCTAAATAAACTAGAATTGTATTAACTGCTGCTGCTTTTGCAGACCTGAGCTGAGGAGGTCGTACTCTTTGTGCTGTGTACAACATTCCATAGGAATTCTGCAGCAGGCTGTGGAAAGATAGCCATTTCCATAGGGATGTTTCTCATATTGTGAACTCCTGATCTGCAAACCTAACACTGAGCTTAGAGATGTATTGTTCGACTGAAGCAACTGCCACCCGATTGCTCAATCCATTGGTTTTCCTTCTTTCACCTTCAATCGGCTTTAATCACATGCTTTCTTACTGTGTTTAAATCTGCTTCCTGTCCATAGGACCACTTAATCTGTAATAGGCTGCCTGCAAACGTGAATATTTTATTAACAATGTGCTGTTCGCATGGTTGCCGGATGGCAGAGCATAAAGTATTGAAGTTTCTGCAAAATCAATGCCTTTATGTCTGTGTAGCGAAAAACATAATGTAGTACAAGAACGTGATCAATTTAAACAGCAGCTAATGTGTCAGGCTAAACCTGCTTAGCTGTGGTATATATTAGTTTTCTATCGCCCGCTGGCCTTTTCAAGCGTGATTGTTCAGCTGCAAATGATGTAGTGACTGCTTGAGTGGAAAGCGTTGAGCTCTAATGACAGGGGCTTGACTTGTCCATAAAACCAAATGGGTGTCTTTTACCCAGAGGTGGCTCAGAGAGATTAAAGTTCCCAGTACCGCTTTTCATACTTAATATTCTTTCTTATTGATAACATCGGACATTGGAAGAGATGAAACCAATCTCTCTGAAGTCAGGTAGAAAGTAGCCTTCTAATTGGAGTCTTTGTGAATTGATTCAGATAATTTGGAAGATGTTTATTTTAGGACTCCCGCAGAGGTGAAGTAAATTTGGGTTTAAATGCAGCAGCTTTAAAAATAGTGCGTTCTAAATAAAGCAACTTAAAATTGGTGTCAGCGATGTTGATGAGACAGTGTTTTTAAACAGGCTCTTTCCACTCGTCCCTGTATGCTTGCCCCTTTAGAAAATCAGGCAAAAGTAGGTTTACTTGAATAGAAGTAGGCAAAATCAAGCTATAGCAGAGCTAAATTCGGCTCGTGAAGTGATAGGTCACCTTCTTAGCTGGATTTTAGAGCATGTGTTATGTTTGGAATTCATGCATTTTGTCCGTATGTGACTTTTACGTACGCCAAGTATGAGATGTTTGAGAGTGGTGTATAAAGTGGAATGCATCACCATGAAAACAAGAATTAGATCGGAGAAATAGAGTTAGTGCTTGCACCCTGTGTACTTAGCAAGAAGTTTGCCTGAACAGCTTTTGCATGTATGAATACAGTGTGAACGTACTCAGCCTCATCTGTGCTGCTCTATCAAAGCTTGGGAAGTATGCTTTGGCTCCTCATTTTTGCTTTTGATACTTAGTTTTTATCCAAAAAGGTGATCAAATTCAACATCACCGAATCATGTAGGAGAATGGCTGTTAGCCTCCCAGCTGCTGTAACCTCCCGTGTTGTAGTTGCCATCAGTTCCCATCTCCTCTGCCGAAAGAGCTTTATTGCATTTCGCAGTTAAGCTGTCCTTAGCATCACAAGCAGGGCTCCACAGAAGATAACATTTTGATTGCCTCCTTCATCTTAACTCAGGGAAAACTTGAAGTGTTTCCTTTTTTCCCCTGTCTCTTTCCTCTCTTTTATTTTGTTGCGGTCTCATCTTTGGGTTCTGTTTTTCAAGATGTATTTATATGAGCAGAGCCAGTGTTTGAAATGTTTTGATGACGTTCTACTCTGCTTTCATCTGGATGAAATGTTTTCTTTAAAAAGGAAACAAATGAAAGGGAAGTGGTGAGGATATTAAAAAGCATCCTTTGGTTTGCTTTCCCAGATGGAAAAATGAGACTTTTAGTCATGAAGTTTCAAAGGGAATGAGCGTTAAGACCACAGGGAGGCATGGTGTATGGAAGCAGGGACCTTTGATGTACAAGAAAACAAAGGTGGTTTGAGTGGAGGATTTACTTGCATTTACACAGCTCTGTGTGAGCAATAGACCTACGAACAAAGAGCTGGTTCTCCAGCAGGTGGTGGCTTCTTGTTCTGGCTCTAGGGGTTGTATAAGTCATGGATCAGCGACTTGATAACAAGGGTTCTGTAACTGCCACCGTTCCTGATGTTTGAATTTATGAGTTGCTGTGATTGAATGGAGGAGAGCGGTAGAAAGCAAATAGCTACCTGCAAATAAATAACAACTTGTGTTGTGGATTGAGTTACCAGCAGTTTACTTCAGACTACAGAAGACTGCTTTCTTCAACGAGCATTTTTAAATGAAGTTTCATCTCTCTAAGAAGAGAAGTTTTGATGAGTTAAACATCTTATCATTAAGGTACATTTCAGTGCCATGTTTCCCCATGCGGAAGGAACAGTTGTCCCCATTGTAGGCATCTTGTCTTCCTGGGTGTTTTCAGAGAGTTTCTGTTCAGCCTTTTGCAGTGAAATGGTGGAAAACTAGAAGAGCATCATGGGGTTAAGGAGAGCTGAAATCAGTGCTGTTAATCCTGAAGGCTCTTCATCCTTTTGAAGCCGGCGATGTTTTAGTGCCAACTCATTGCTTTGTTCCTGCATGATGTTTTCTGCAGAACTAAAAAACAATGATAAAAATGGGTTAGAATCCAAGGCAGAGGCACAGGCAAGCAGCCATGGGGCTGGCATCCAGCTTTGTATTTGGTTCTTGAATTGCAGTCTGTCTTGTCTGTTGTGTGAGCTCTTACCTGTATATGAATCACCTAGGGTCATTAGATTTCAGTTTAATTTGTATTTTCTCTATTTATAGAGGAAAAGAGTGGATGTAGGGATATATCAACTGCTTGTGTTGAAAGAGAAGTCCTAACCTGTATCATCTCATCCCCATGTCCTAGAAGGGCTAACATCAGTATATTCTGAAACCTAGTTCCTTGTCTTGGAAAGCTCCCTCTTCTTCCTGTAATCAGCTCCATGACCCTTAGAATTTAATGTTTATGTTCTGTCCGATGGCTTAAGTCTATTGTTTGACCTGTCTTCCCTGGATGAATATCTGACTTGCTGTAGGCTGTGTCTGTCTTAGGCTTGTGGAAGAAAAGTAGCAGTAAATTCAACAGGTACTGCTGTCTTTTCAAGCAGTATTGGAGGAGTTATCCTTCGACAGGATTAGTACTGGCATGCTCTCTTTTTCATTTTGTTTTTCCTGTGTCACAATCTGCAGGTCTGCTATAATGATGCTTGAGAGTTCCCACATTTTTATCTTTCTTTCACCAAAAGGAGGAGGGTTTTCTGTCCTAAAGATGAGACTCGTACATCTGGGACATTTGCACAGTGATTCAGTGCCTGGCATTAGGCATATTATCACACAGGGGCCTGTGCATCTCTAGGCTGGGCTCTCATGTGCTGTACCCAATGTATGGAGAGAGTTAGAGTAGGCATTCCCAGCCTGCCATTTTCAGGTCAGCACTAGTTCCAAAAGCCAAGCTCGAAAGCCCTGTCTCTTGACACAGTCTATCGCTTATGACAAACAGTTACTTTATTTTTGGATCAGAGTTTGGAATATATGGTGAGAGATTTAATGTTCCTTCATGTACCATTTATGCACCCAGAAGCAAGATTTGCGACATGTAGGGCAGGGATGGTGCTAATAGGGGATGCTGAGGATGGAGGAATGGGATAAGCTGTATGTTGCAAAAGGAGATGACTCTTGGGAAGAGGAGGAGGTACCCAGAGATGCTCAGCATTCATAGCCACAAATGATGCCACGGAGATGTCTGGCAAGAAAGCTCGGGTGAGGTGCTTGCTTTCCCTGCTCTCCCTGTTTATGTCTGAATAGCACAATTGTTAGAAAACGCAGTGGCTGGAAGAAAATAACACCTAAAAGTTTGTCATCAGGTTTGGAACCAAATTTTGACTCTTCCCAGAAGACGCCCTTCCCACCGCTCTGTTTGGAGTTAGTAAAAGGGGCTGCCCGCGTTAGCTGGCGCTAAACACATGATGCGGCTGGGGAGGGAGGCGGATGCCGTGTTCCCGCTCTTGCGGGCAAGCCCGCTCGGGCTGCGGGCGCCCCGCGCTCTCTTCAGCACCATGGCCAGCGCCAGGGGCGGCCGCTGCCCGCCGCAGCGCGCTGGGCTCCCGGCTGGGATGCGGCGGCTGCTCCTGCCCTCGGGTACCGGAGGTACGGAGGGAGCCAGGGGCAGGAAGCCCCTCGGGCCTCCCCAGCCTGGCCAAGCGCAGGGTCCCGCTCCTGGGGCGGGGCAGTCCCAAGCACAAACTCAGGCTGGGTGGAAATGGGTTGAGAGCAGCCCCGAGGAGAAGGACTTGGGGGTGTTTGTTGACGGGAAGCGCCTCGTGACCCGGCCTTGTGTGTTCGAGCCCAGAACCCCACCGTGTGCTGGGCTGCACCCCCAGAGCGTGAGCAGCAGGTCGAAGAAGGGGATCCTGTCTCTCTGCTGCGCTCTGGGGAGACCCCTCCTGCAGTGCTGATCCAGCTCTGGGGCAGCAGCACAAGAGGGACGTGGAGCTGTTGGAGCGAGTCCAGAGGAGGCCATGGGGATGCTGCGAGGGCTGGAGCAGCTCTGCTCTGGAGCCAGGCTGAGAGAACTGGGCTGGGTCAGCCTGGAGAAGAGAAGGCTCCTGAAGGGGAGACCTTAGAGCAGCTCCGGTGCCTAAAGGGGCTACAGGAAACATGGTGAGAGAGGGACTTTTTGCAGTGGCATGGAGTGATAGGACAAGGGGTGTTGGGTTCACAGTGAAACAGGGCAAGTTCAGGTTAGATCTAAGGCAGAAGCTCTTCCCTGTGAGGGTGCTGAGGCGCTGGCACAGGGTGCCCAGAGAAGCTGTGGCTGCCCCATCCCTGGCAGTGCTCAAGGCCAGGCTGTACATGGGCTTGGAGCAAGCTGCTCTAGTGGAAGGTGTCCCTGCTCTTTGCTGGGGATTGGGACTGGATGAGCTTTAAGGTCCCTTCCAGCACAAACCAGGCTGGGATTTTCTGATTTACACTGCAGAAAATATGTTAATGCTGGTAGCCTTCTGCCGTGGTCCTGTAAAGCAGGAAAAAAGCATAGGAGTGCAGACACATAAGTTCTGCAAAAGTGAAGTTTTAGATGTAAATTGCTGTAGCTGTGTTGGCTTTGCAAAGGTTAGTTTGTTTTATGGCAGCTGTAGATCAGCCATTATGAATGGTTTCTCCCACCTCTTCCATAACCTCTGTTGGCCTTACTGTGAAGATAGTAAGTCCTTCAAGCCTTAGCTTGCCAGTTGGTTGGATTTGTTCATGTACAGCAGAGAAAGAATACTCTTTATAAATGTATCTTTAAAAAAAAACAACCTCAAAACCCACCACCTTCCATGGAGATGCAGTGTGAGAAACCAAGTGCTTTGGGTCGAGTTTTAACCAGGTACAAACTGACCGCACTTGAGGTTCTGTCATGTTGACTTCTTTCTCTAAGGAATAGTCCTTTGGTATAGCAGCTAATCTTACATGGGTTTATCAGGATGGAAATCGTTCATTCTGCTTGTTGCTGAACACTGCTGGAAAGGGTTGGCAGTTTCTGCTCAACTTGGCTTTTAAATTACCAGTGACAGACTGGCTTTAAAACATGCTTCAAGGCATATGAAAATACTCAGGTTTATTCTTGATTTGGCAGAGGTCTGATGAATTTGGCCCTTGCCTTTAGTAAATGCACCGAGCTCATGTTCGTAAAGGGGAAGATGCTAACCTCTGTTTTCAGATTTCTTTCCAGTACCCTGGAAGATCTTGTCCAATGCTGGATCCATGTAGTTTATTTTTTTGTTCTCACCTCTCAGATTACCAAATATGTTCCTGCAAACTCCATCCAAATTTGATGTCAGTCAAGGATATGTTTAAAGTACTGGGCAGTATTGTAACCACCCGTATTCCTGTAATGACAGGTACTTGCAGGGCCAGCTTCAGAGTGCTCTTTAAAACCAGTCACTGCTAATGGGGTCATTTCTTGTGGTGATAAACCCATCATGTGGAGGGAACCAGGTTCTAGTAAGAGCTGAATCTGCCAATCTCATCAAGGCTGAATCTGAGCATCCTCTGTTGGAGCAGGAGGTGACGCTGCCCAACAGTTCCCAGGTAGTGCTGGCATTTGTCAAAACTGGGATTAAATGCCCTGATACTTCCCTTTGAGAGTACCAAAACCACCCGGGTGTATACTCTGCCTGACTTTCTGTTGTGGCAAAGTACTGCTCCTAAAGGTTGTAGCTGTAACTAGCTCTTGTGACTGTCATTCAGGGTCTTCTGTTTGGAGGGGTATTTGAAAGGACTGTAAAAAATACTCTGAATTAAAATTCAGCATCTGACTTCCCTGCCAGAAGCTGCTCAGTGTTTTATTAGAGCTTGAGAAAATGTATTTGTGTGTTTCTCCCTTTTGTTTAGAGAGGATAAAATGAATGATTTTGTTTTGCTTTGTCTGCTCTGCTTTTTATTATCTTATGTGTATTCCTCTGCTTACGCTCGATCTGTGGCTGATACAGCTGAGGGCAGATTCATTTCTCTTGCAAGCAGCTGTAATTTTCGCTGTGTGTGTTTCTAGTCCTACGGCCTGGTTAGCCTGGAGTGTCTTCTGCAGGTCCAAACCGGCCCACCGGATTTACCAGAAGGGAGCCGTCAAGTGGACGTTTATCCTTACAAAAGGCGCAGTTTGTGTAACAGCACTCTTGGAGGGCCATTGAATACCAGGGCACTGCAGTCCTGGCTTTTATCACCTTGCCACCCTGGTGCCTGTTTTACGACTTGCTTTTAGGTGGTGCTCAGTTAAATTGCCCTCCGTCACGGGCAATGTTAAAGCAGTTAACTCGGGTTGACCTTTGGTTTTATTCTCTTCTTGTTTGAGAGACTTTCTGGGACACGCTTGCGGCTCCTTGTTGTGGTAACCCGTGTGATCTTGCATGTTTCCTCAAGGTTGGGGGAAGTTTGCTCGCCTGACCCGTGCCCTCACCAGCAGCCGGGGTGTGCTGCAGCAGCTTGCTCCCAGCGTGCAGAAAGGAGAGAACGTCCACAAGCATTCACGGCTCGCTGAGGTAACGTTTGCTTTCCCTGAGAGACCCTGAAGGAACGGTTTAACCCTTGGGCTGTGTTGTCTTTGTGCCTCCCTTGCCCTGGGGATCCAGGCTGGTGGCAGGCATAGGAGCTCAGAACATGGCATGTGTGCTGTGAAATGTGTCCCATGACAGTGCAATGGAAACAAGTGTCCTAAAGACCTCATCTAACCTAATTGTGGTGGTGTGTTCTGTATCTCAGCAAAGTATGATAACGCCACGATCACTGAAGGAATACTTTCTTGCTTAGTTTCTAGTCTTCTGAGAACCTTGATGTTAGAGGGGTCTTGCACTATCCGCTTGTGTAACACTGAGGGAACAGAAACAGGCCAGTACAGAAGGAAATGCTGGAGGATCCTTGACATGGTTGTTGCGTGCATTCACTGATGTCCGGTTCTTCTTCAGTGGGATCCCTGTCCTGCTTTCCAGACTGGTTCAAACGCATGTCTGACTTACAGCCATCCCATCCATAAAGCCCGTAAGAGGTCACAAGCAACGCTGCAGCCAGATCAGGAGAATGAAACCTTGTGATTTAAGGAGACTCTCAAGGCTTTGAGTGAAGCAGCAGGCAGAGGAGGCTCCAGGAGGTACTTGGGGTTGTAGGGCTTTCGCCACGAGGGGGAGAGACTGTCCCGAGTTTCCTGTAGCTGTCTCCTGGGCCAGCAGCAGGGTTCCCCCTGATGTAAAAACAGCTTAGAGAAGGTCTTAAACAGTGTTAGTGGCAGCATGGCCATCTGATTATCACATGTCCAACCTGAGGTTGCTTTAGTGTCCTGGAATTTGGAATAGTCTCCCTCTTAATCCTACTCAGGGTTTAGCATCAAATAATCCTTCCTTCTCTTTAGAGAAGCCTACCCTTGAACTGCAGTTCACGCTAAAATATAGGCAGTAGAATGCAAGGCAAAGAGTCAGAGGTGGTTCTCTTTGGCTTAGCAAACCTTAGTCTGGACCTGAGTGACTGCACATTACTGAGACTCCTCACAAGCCAATGCGCTCAACAAGTCTTTGCAAGTACTCTAAGTGGCACAGGCAGTTGATTCATTACAAGTAATAAAGGGCAAGTGTATCGTTCACATGTCTGAAATGAGTTTCTTTAATTGCCGACTGAATATTGGAGTCATTAGTTTGAAAAGAACATTAGCCCCAGCTGTGATATTCGGTACCTTGTTGTATATCTGCCCTAATTCCACGTAAGTCAATAGAACTACACTGGAGAAAAGCAGAGTGCAGATAATCATACAGACAGGCCCACTTTTCTCCCCTTGAAGACACATGGGGTGCCAGGCTTCCTATTCTGGAAAGATCTCTTGATGCTATCGAACACGGGCTCTCTAACTGCTCCTTGTTGTATTTTCACATCCCTCTTTTCCCCACTTCATCTCTGCAGTAGTTTATTAAACGTCTGAAGTTCAAGTTAACATCCATCCGCTTTCTTTTCCCACTTGCCGTGGCACTTCACATCCACCTCGTTGGCTTGAGAAGGCTCTTCATTTGCTGGGATATTATTTGTGTCTCTTTTAGTTCTTTATCGCTTATTTTTGGCTGCCTGAGGAGCCAGTAGTGTCCTAGAACCTGAGCGGGACAAGGTGGTGTACCAGTACAAACCAGGAGCCTGCCACAAAAGCTGACCATTTCTTTTGCCTTGTATAATGTAGTAGTTGAAGAAAGGTGTTGGTGACAAACTGCTTTGGCTTATCTGCAGGCCACGGGTAATAGAGGCAGCGCTAAGCCTCCGCCTCTGACTTTGCCAGGACACGTAGGCTTGTTTGGCCCGACTCCTCCAACAGCAGTCATACGAAAACTGCTTAAATTACTAATGCAGTTAATGCAGGGGCGTTGGGGAGGACGTTTTGCAAGAAGAGTGTGAAGTAACGGGTGCATTTCTGTGGCTTTCTCACCAAGGAGCTGAGTGGAGGAGCCATTCTTCCTGGTCACTGCATGATGCGCGTGTCATCCGCGCCTGTGGCGTTCGCTGCTGTATGCTGTACATGGACCAGGCAGTCCTGGATAAACGGGATGGTGTCACGAGCTAACAAATGCAGTAACAGCAGCACTGCTCAGTAATGGAACCTCTGCCTTTCTTTTCTTCACTTTGTGTACCAGGGACTCATAACTGCCATTAAAATCTACTTCGAGCTGAGGCTTAGCACCTTGTCCTTGGCTTGGGAGCAATTTGTGTGGGTGCCTATGAAAACAAAAAGCAAGGGAGAGGGAGAGAAAGCAAATATGTGCAGTTGAACACACAAGAGGGAGAGATTAAGCTGAAAACAGATGATTGTTTGTGTGGTTTGGGGGGTTCTTTTTCTTCCCAGTCCTTCGGTGTTAAAAATAAATCATAACCGCTTGTTGATGCGCTTCTGTGACTGGTGATGTGTTCACCCTCCTCTAACACATCTAAGATAGCTTTTTCGTTCTGCCATGTTAAGAAAACAAATGAACACAGCCCTGTGAAACCCCTGATGAAATTTGTCATTTCTGCTCTTGAAATAATATTCCCTGGCTTTGGAGAGCTATTAAAACATCATGCACTATTACCACAAATAATAAATGCAGATAATGCAGCTGTGGTGGCGGATGAATCATAAGTAATTGGAATAATACTTTCATTAATAACTCTGAAACAAATATTTCTTTTATTCGGGTATAACTGCATAACAGGGAAATATCATCCAAAGCCAGGGCCATTTCAGTTACATAGAGAAGAATAGTAATGATGGATTTGTTCAGGGCACATGGGGGATGCTCAGTTTATCGGCTTATAGTGCTGTGTATGTTTTATATTCATCTTTGTGGGGTGGTTTTTTTCCTCTCCAGAAGTACCTTTACAAGCAGTTTGAGTTCAGTCAGTTCATGTGGGTGGCTGACCACACCTGACTGCTTCAGCAGATACTGCGTCTCGGGTTGGCACTACTCTCCCTAGAGGTTGCAGTGCAGCGAGAGCAGCTTGGAATAGGGCTTGTCTTTGCATCTGTCTGGCTTTGATATATGGCGCAAGGAGAGTGGGGTTTAGAGCTCTTAATCTCCAGATGACCCAGGGAGAGTGTGTCTGAAGGATGGAATAGACTGTGTGTGGCAAAAAGTGGACAAAAGAGCTCTCCTAACTCCCGGTACAGCAACCTGGCAAACCCTAGGTCTTTAGCACTAAGCTCTGTGGACATCCTTCTGTTAGTCCTGTACAGCACAGGGTTCTCTTGTTGTGCCTAATGCTAAAAGCAAATGCTTGCTCTCCAAGATAATTAGGCTTTGTTATAGGTGGTTTTGTCTTCCTTCAGTGAAGAATTTGGTGCCTTTGAAAGCTCCTGGCCTGCAGTCCAGGAGGCTGCAAGGCTTTTGCCAATATCTAAAGCAAGTTGCCTTTCCCAGGAGAAGTGGTGTGAGCTGTGGCAATGCTCTTCTTCCATCACCAGCTGGACATCTCATCTGGACAGGGTGCTGGGGCATCTGGTCTGGGTCATGCTTTGCCTAGGAAGGTTGGACGAGACAGTCCTTGAGGTCCCTTCCGACCTGATGTTCTGCGATTCAGGCTGTGAAATGACAGCTCATATCTCTAGCAGTGCAAGCATGATGGAGTGGTTTTACAATGTGTGCTTTAGCGATGTAAAGAGAGGGAGCCAGGGCTGGAACGTGGCACCCCCACCCAAAAAGAGAAATGGGACATGCCTCAGGCTTGCTGCAAGTGGCTTTCCCCCACGCTGTGAGTGGTTGATATCCCTGTGTCATCCCTTGATGCCCATCTCCTGCCTCTCTGTTCAGGAAGAGAAGCTGCGTGGAGACCTCGGAGCAGCTTCCAGTGTCTGAAGGGGGCTACAAGGGTGCTGGAGAGGGACTCTTCATCAGGGACTGCAGCCATAGGACAAGGGGTGATGGGTTCAGACTGAAACAGGGCAAGTTCAGGTCAGATCTAGGGCAGAAGCTCTTCCCTGTGAGGGTGCTGAGGCGCTGGCACAGGGTGCCCAGAGAAGCTGTGGCTGCCCCATCCCTGGCAGGATTCGAGGCCAGGTTGGACACAGGGGCTTGGAGCAAGCTGCTCTAATGGAAGGGGTCCCTGCCCTGTGCCAGGGGTTGGAACTGGGTGAGCTTTAAGGTCCCTTCCAACCCAAACCAGTCTGGGATTCACACCCACAGTGCTGATGCACGTCTCCTGGAGACCAGCTAAAGCCATGGCCCCTGGAGACCAGCTAAAGCCATGGCCCCTGGTCACTTTACCCAGCCACTGCTAGAGCTTAACCAGAGATCCCAAGGTGGTAATGGAAATTCCAAAGACTTATTAAGAAGGTCCCTAGGCACTCAGGTAGTTTGGAGTGCATTTACTTTCTGAATAAAAAAGGAGGAAGACATCAATCTTTTGATTTTCCTGTGCCCTGCAATGTCAGTCAAGCTGAGGAGAGTGCTTTGTACTTGGTGATGGCATTTTAAAACACTGAAGCAGCAAAGTTGTTATTTTCTCAATGACTTGAAACCAGAAGTCTGTTTTCTCTGCATTCAGTTCAGTTTTGCATCCCTGCAGTTCCACTGCCTTCACTGTAAGTTCTGTTTCTGATTTGCAGCAGAATAATGGACACCATAATTTAGCCCCTTCTTCATTACCCAACACAGATTGTTCTTGCCTTTGTTTCTATTATTCAGGTGTAGGGGAATGCATTAGTACATTTCCCAGTCACTTTAGTTTGGATGATGCAAGAGTTCCACAAGCTCTTGGAGTACCAAGAGACCAGTGGTGGCCAAAATGGAGTGCCTGGTACAATTCTCAGTCTAGAACTGATGTATGTACATGTAAGAATCAATCTGAATAGAACTAACAGGGTTGGTTTTGTTCAGTGTTTCGTGGTTGAGGCTCCTGTGCTGACTGGAATGGTTGCCAGAATGTTTGACTTCTTCATATTACAGCAGAAATGAAAAAAATAAGCTCTAGGAGAGATATGGTTGCAAAAGAAGCAATTATGAACATCAAGCAAGAAGCAGCATTTCAGCTGAAATCCAGTCAACTGGCTGGAAATGTTACTACATGATAGAAAGTGCTTGGTTTTGGTGATGAGTCCCTCGAGTGAACGAATGTTGCAGTGGCAATCCTCAGCTCCAGAAGTGGGGACTGGCACTTCTGTCCTGCGCTGCTTCCAGCTCCTCTCACCGCAGGGCAACTTCCAACAGCTTTATTTTGCTTGCTTTCTCTTCTTCCTGTAGCGTGGAGAACCCGTGTGAAAGGGGTCAGGAGTGGCAGAGCACTCGGTGCTGCAGTGGACGTGTCTGAGTCCTCCTTGGGTCTGCAGGGCTTCTTCTTGGAGGAAAAGGTTCCTCAGTGAACAGAAGTACCAAGTTCCCTTATTTTGTCTTCAGGCTGCTGATGCCTCCGTGCTGGCACGCAGGTCTCTGGGCAGGTCATGCTGCTTCTCTTCAGCAGAACATACTGGGCTTAAAGGCAGCGGGCTTGCAGTTCCCGTTGTCACTACACACGTGGAGGGACTGTGATCTGACAGTGTCTGACCCTTGTTGCGCACAAGAGTGAGTGATTCTGTGAGGCTCAGAGCAGCAGGGAGCCTGATCTGAGGCTGTTTTGTCCGAGCAGGACTCCTGTAGCTGATTGTTTTCTTTTGTACCCTTTGGCCCAACCTGCTGGGAACAAAAAGTGCGGCAGTTCGCAGAGAAAGCAAGCAGAAAGCGCTCAGAAAAGCCTGCAGATAAAAATCCCTCTCTGAATAATTGACGTTTAAAAAGCTGAGACAAGGAGCACACAAGGAAGGCATCCTCCTGTTACAGCCGTGTTGTCTGATCTTCTCCTTGAGAAGGTGGCTGTTTAATTTCCTTCTCTGCTCCCAGCTGCTCTGAACTGCTTGTAAGGAAGTGGGACAAAGGAACCGTGCTCCTCAAGAGCTCTCCCAGGTTCTGTGAGCTTGGCATTTAGCAAACACACCTCGCTGGAGGAAATCTCTGTCTTCAGTTTTCATCCAGCCCAGGTTCAGGTCCAGGGTTTAAAACACATGCTGAGGGATGATCTGCGGCCGATGACAGCTGTTACGAATTCAGACCTAACTGCATTGTAACTCGACTGTGCACCAGCAGGTAGTGCGAACACTGATTTTTCTCTCGGTTCAAAATGGGTTTATTGAGTGTAATGCTATTTACTGTGGGCTTTGGTTCTGCGTGGCCCAGAGAAGAGGAACCATGACCTGTGCATGCGTGATGGACTGTAGTGTAAGACTGTTTCAGATGCTGTATAATGAAGAGTTAAGTAGACAGTGTGGAAAAACAGTGTGGTCCAGTGGTCCCAGTGCTGGACTGGAACTCAGAAGTTGTGGTATTGCTCCTGGTTTTGCCATTGATTTCTCTTTGCAGCTGCCTTTCTGCCCATCATTTATCTGTCTCCTCTATTTAGACTGCTGAAGGAGCTGTCTCTGTATGTCTGGGAGACCTAGGCCACTAGGCTTAGTGTCAAGAAGTAATTAATGGCATTGAAAGAAACAACTGTGCTTAGCTTGACGCTGATGTGTTTGGCAGAACACTTATCCTGACTTGCTTAGCATTTGCTGGTGATAAGGAGAGTTAATGGATCTGTATTTTAATCAACTGCCGTACTGAGCTTGCGAATCTACAGTGTGAAGAATAGTGTTAAAGCACTAAGCATGTTTCCTTTTTCTCCTGAAATCTCTGACTGCAGGTACTGCAGCTGGGCTCGGAAATCCTCCCACAGTACAAACAAGAGGCACCAAAGACTCCACCGCATATCATTTTGCATTACTGTGTTTTCAAGACTACCTGGGACTGGATCATCTTGATTTTAACCTTCTACACGGCTATTCTGGTCCCTTACAACGTCTCCTTTAAAACCAAACAGAACAATGTGGCATGGCTGGTCGTCGACAGCATTGTAGATGTCATTTTTCTGGTGGACATTGTGCTTAATTTCCATACCACCTTTGTGGGGCCAGCAGGAGAGGTGATCTCTGACCCGAAGCTCATCCGCATGAATTACCTGAAGACCTGGTTCGTGATCGATCTGCTCTCCTGCTTGCCATACGATGTCATCAATGCGTTTGAGAACGTTGATGAGGTCAGTATACGACTTCCACCCATTCGTTGTTACTTCACGGCTGGGGGGAGGTGGGGGAGAGAAGAAAGAAATGGATGCTTTGGATTAGAGTGAGTTAGTGTACCTATGTCTCTAGTAGCTGCCCTCAGCGCATACAGAAGTTTGCTTGTGAGCCCTAGCCAGAAGGGTCCATCTTTAAGTGCACTGGGAGAGGCTGAGGTTTTTGGTGGCAGAAATCCGTGTTTATTTTCCTTCCTTCTCCGGCCTCAGCGTCCAGGAGGACAGGCAGAAGCAGGCAGCAGAACCTCTGTACAGCACTGAGGAGAGCTGCTTCATCTGACCTACCATGAACAGCTCGAGCTGCTGTGTCAGAGTAGTTTCTTAGAGCAGGCTTCGCTTGCTTTCACTGCTGATCAAAGAGGGTATGTCTGCCAATGGCAGTTCTTCACAGGAGCAACTGGGAAGTGAAATTCCCTTTCCTCAGCTGCTTTCTAGTACAGTCTAGCAGGTGGCAAAGAGGCAGGCAGCGACTCACTAGGTCTTCCTAGAGCACCACAAAGTACTGTGTGGGTATCTGGTGATCCATGCAGCACTGTTCGGCACCAGTTGTTGAAAGGGAAAGGTGAAGTGATTCAAGATGCTGGTCTGATGCTTGTTAGGCAATTCTGGAATTAGACAAAAGGATAAGGAGAAATCTGGAAATCTAACTCCTTAATTCTTGCTCGTTTCTTTGGGAACAGGCCACAAGTCAGGAAAAGACCTAACATTGAGACGCTTAAAACCACAGTACTAGCCTGTTGTAACTGCCTGTTCTCCTACTGGATCAGGCTGCCAAGAAAATATTCCTCATCTAAATACATTAGGGATCCATGCCTAAATAGTTCAGAGGGTTAATGAGGGTTAAGGAAATCTTAAACCGGAGTCCAGCAGTCCAGTTTCTAGTTACATACTATAAGATCTGTGCCATCAACTCATGACGTGTCTCTGTGTATCGGTGACACATACTAACCCTGGGACACACATACGTAGCTCCTCAGTGCTTGCTATTTAAGTTTTCGTCTGTAAAATTTAGTTTTTAGGAGTTCCTTTAAAATGTGGCCATGTTATAAAGGGAAAACATAACCCCCCATTACTTTGTAAAAATACACCGCGTATGGTTTTTTTATCTATGGTATTTAATGTATTTTTCTCAGTAAGTTGAGGACAAGGAGGCAAACTATTGAATGCAATTCAAAAACCATGGTGTTATTTGGTATTTCATTCCCTGGAGAGGTTTTCATTTTGTGTAAAGCTACAGACTGAAATAACACAAATGAGGTGAAGCAAAAGGGCCTCGAGACCTGTCCTTAAACACTTGTTTGTCAAAAGGACCCGGGCTGCACAGTAGTTTGCCATGGCACTGATAAAGCAATGGAAGGAGTGGCTGTTGTATCAGTTGCTGACATTTAGATTGAAAGAGTAAAAAGAAAGCGGGGGGTTGGGGGAGGCAGAGGAGGCTTTTGTCACCCACTGCACATACTGCAGGTGGTAGCAACCTGCTCTGCCGATGATTTTACTGGAGAGGAGCACTTCCTAACTAGCGACGGGTGATGTGACCTGCAGAGCATCCCTGAGGACAGCGTGTGCACCAGCGGCTGTGACAGCCCTCGCGCTGAGCGCAGGCTCTTTCTGCAGAGAAATCTTTGTGAGAGGGTGAATTTCTCCAGGTTCTCCATCTCGGTGTTGCCTTGTAACAGTGAGAACCTGATTGGGACTTCAGTCTCCAGCAATAGATGGTGTTTTAGTTGTTCTAGCTAGCATGCCCAGGGAAAAAGGAACGCTTTTCTTGGTGCTGTCCTTTCAAGAGTGTTCATCTTTATTTTCCCGAGTGGATTCCGACATTTAGCCGGTATAAATCATTGTAGAGTCATTAGAGCAGGGTTTCCACTGGTGTAAATGACTGCGCTACTGTTTAAGGTCTCGTAGACTGCTTTACGCTACCTGAGGGGTTTGGCAGCAATGCCAGCAGAGTAACACAGTGCACATCAGGGGCGGGTTAGGGCGGTATATGCTCATCACTGTTTCATGAGATGCCTGTCGAGGGAAAGGGGATCTTTTATTGAAGAAGATGAAGGGGGAAAGTGCCACATCCAAGGAGTCTTCAAAGCAGCAAATCTTTGCCTTGCATAGAATCATAGCATCGTTAGGGTTGGAAAGGACCTTCAGCTCATCTAGTTTTCTCTGTTGCGGAGAGTATTCCCTTGTGACTCAACTCCCTTCTGTCGGGCTTGCTGGTTTCATGTTTACCTGTCTCTAGCCCCAGACTGCATGCCCTATTACTTCACAGTCGCATTAAATTAGCTGTGAGGCTTTGGCTGCTCAAGTCACAAGTAGCCCAGCTCAGATTGTTCCCTGTGTGTTGCTTTGATTTGGTAAAGGGAATTCCCATAGAGCCAGGAGGCTGGGATTGGTAGGTGGCCATGGCTGCTGTGGGGCTTTTTGCTCTAGTCCTAATGTGAATACTCCTCCAAGAAAACAATTGCCAGGTATTAAATGCTACCCAGTGTCTGCATGCTGATAAAATGAGAGGAAGGATGTGAATTGCTGTTTTCCTGTGTTGATGTTTTCTGCATACGATGTTAAAAGGAGGAAATGGAATCCTGGCTCAGTTGCAGGCCCTGTAGTGAGGGGGGACTGGGACAGGTGGAAGCTGACTGCTGCTTGTGCCTGCTGTCATCCTCTGTTAAAAGGAACATCCCTGAAGACACTGAGGATGTTATGGAGGAGCTAACTCGACAAGTCGATTTGGTGTTAAGAATAGCGCAATTACCTTGGGGGAGACTAATTGATTTGTGAGGATGTGGGACCTGAAGAAGTAAAAAGCTGCGTGTGGAGGGAGCGCAGGCTCTTTTGGCCCTGGGTCATTGGGAGCTGTCGCGTCACGTAGCTCTTGACAGATTAACAGTGAAACCATTCTTGTCATCTTCCAAGTGATCCACCGATGTAAGATTAATTGTCATACCTGAAAGCAGAGTTGATCAATAGCATTGACAAGCAGATCCTCATTTCAGAATGTTCTGATACTGGGGGTTTTTATTCTGTTTTGAAGTCACTTTTTGTGTTGCAATTTACTTCATTATTCCGCTAGAAGACCTAATGGAAAATATTTTCCTGACACAGAATCGAGTGTGCCTTCTGTGTTTTCCAGGCAGTTTCATAATTCTCTGGGTTTGTTGCAGCTTGGAACATGAGTATATTTTCGATTAACATCTTTTAATATAATTGAAATTCCAGTTTCCTCTCTGCATGGTTGAGAATATTTTTGTCCACAAAACTAGTTTGAATTCATTAAATATTAATCAATACAACTATTAATAACTGCAGTGAATGCAAGAGACGCTTAAGGATGACTAGCCACATTCTACAGATGGAAGAGGAAAGGGAAAACATCAGTGTTTTTATCCAAGGCCACCCAGAACCAAGTATGCGAGTGTATGAAGCATCTGATCTCAAGCGCTGTGCTCAAAGAGAGCTGAGCTATTCAGGCGTGAAGAGATTCAGCAAAGGAAGGAACAAAGAGCTGTAGAGGAATTCCCATTGTTACCTAAATGGAAGGGAAGTTATCAGTATTTCTGCCGGCTTTTCTGTATGGGAAGCTAATTATACAGTTAAAGATGAACTGCTTTCTTGACCTGCCATAGAACTTCAAGAAAAGACAATCTTGCACTGACGGATGGATCAGCTTAATGCTAGGCTTCAGCTTTCTGCTGCTGAGACAATGCATCCTCCTGTGGTGTAGTTTGAGTAGGAAAAGCAAATAGTGGCCCAAAGTTTACACAGCCCTTAACACATGTGGTATTAATCTCTTCTGAATCTGAATGATTCCAATAAGATTTGTCAGTAATGGTTTGCAGTAATTAGCATTATTCCTCCCTTAAGGAAATGCCGCCTACTTTGGGGGATAATGTTATCTTTTTGTGTTCAGGCATCAATCAGGAGCTTTAATAAAAGCCAGGCTTAAAGAGAATTCCACTGTTTTTTGCCAGAACAATGCAGTTTAAGACTTTGAATTCCCAAGGCAAGTCAAAGCATATTTTTTCAGTGTCCGCTTGAGCAATGTTACACTGTGGTTTTCAGCCATAACAGCATAAGACATAATTTATATTGGAAAGAATTTGACTTATTACATGTGACACTGTTGTTGTGAAATCTCGTGGTGGGAGTGGAATCCGGTCATGTCACCACCATATAAATCTCTGGAATAGGGAGTTTGTAGTAGTAATTGCTATCCGTATTTGAGCAGAGCACCGTCATCAGTTGTTGGCTGATGCCAAAGTGAGAACCATGTATCACTCTTAGTAGTTGAGGTGCAAGAGAAAGAAAGGCATAGTAAAAGATCATCAGGAAAGGCATATTCAATCTAAATGATGTAGTGTTCACTCAAGTGGATGAATAAAAGAGAAGCTAGAGTGTGGGCAAAGAAGATACACAGCACTGAAAGGACAGCATTTACAATGATAAAAAGTAATCCCCCAGAAGTAATAGAAGAAAGTAATAGAAGAAGTAATACAGAAGTGATAGAGGGAAATTAAGCTACTTAGTGCTAAGTGAGCACAGCGTAGCTGGAAAGTAAGCAGTGAGTTGGGAGGGGTAAAAATGAATGTGTTGCTGGTCAGATTGTTGGCAACTCTCTGAGGCAGTACTTTTGCAATAGACTAATTTAAACCTTATTAGCGGAATAATCTCATGCTAATACAAATTAGCTCTCTAGGAATTACTGACGTAGCTGTGCCGAAAGCATGCAGCCTCCCTAGGCTTGTTTTACTATTCCCTTGCAATAAGGGGCAAGGGGATAAATGATCATGTTTATAGTTTTATGGAATAAATAGGGGCCTGTAAAGAAGGATGTGGGGTTAGATGAATTTTGCAAACTGGGAAATAGAATTTTGGAAGTCTTTTAAGCTGTGAAGAGCTGTATGGTGTGAAATGTGTTTGAAACGGAGCCGAGTTCACCACTCTTACTGGGATCTGTGCAATTGGGC